CGCCCAAAAGCATAGGCAAATTGACCACTAGTACGCAACGTAATGACTCAGGGTAGTATTGTCGCATCACCTTGATCATAAACTTGACGGCACGCATGTCCACATTGGACAGACCGGCACCGGACACATCCATTACAACAGTAAAACCTTTGTCACCCGCCAATTGGTCCAACTTTTCAAACGTGGTCACTATAATTTCCTAAAATACAAATAATTAAAATATAATTTGCAAGTAATACAAAAACTTAAATACATTTAGTATGCCAATGTAGAATTTTGAGTTTATAAAATTATGTTGCTATTGTAATAGTTAAAATTGTTTACAGTTTTTAATAAAATTGACATTATTAGATCAAATTAAAATTCATATTTACAATCGTAGTCAGAATTATTTGTTAACAATTAGTATATTATTTTTAAATGTATTAGAACCAATGTAATACTTGTGAATTCTTGAATTATATTACTAAATATACATTTATAAATAATAACAGTTTCTAATAAAGTTAAAATCATCATAAAAAATAATAATTAATGTGACCAAAAGTAGACATTGCAATTTATTAAATAGAACATTTGAATAACTAAAAGAAAATAAATCACCAAACCCAAATAACTGATACAATAGTAAAAACAAATTTAATAAATAAGGTGCAATAGGGTGTATTTAAAATAAAAATCGTTTATAAAATATACTCATCTAAAGTAAATGCGCTATTAAACCAAATTTAAAAATCTATAATTATTAAAGTATATTAATAATTAAATAGTAAAACATGGTTACAGTTTCTAATAAATTAACATGTTTTCTTGAATAGCAATCGGTATACTAATAATTTCTATTTAAAACTAAGCAAGTTAGTTATAATAAATAACATGCATACCTCAACAATTCGCTCCAGCTCCGCTCTTAACATGTGTGCAAACTCTCGTGTAGAGGACTGGACGGCCATCTCTATTCCCGGCAAATATAAACATAGCGCCGCACCGAAACACCTCTACCCCACAGTGGCTAAAGTCCCGGTGAACGGGAAACTCGCGGCGCCATCGATACGCCTCCCGGAGCTGACTGTAGGCCTGTTTGGCGTTCATATCGTTGGCCATTAGAAACCGATGGACAGCGTAGTCATCGGTGCGGACAGTGTGCACATCGTTTTGGTCGTATAGATCGCTGTCCCCCTCCCGGGCCGAGTCCAGGAACAGTTGCCGCATTTTTTAAAATCAATTCCTGCGCTCCCGGATTTGTGTCCGAGTGTTTTGGCAACACTATGTGTTGGTTATTTTTGTTGTTTGTCAGCTATTTTAATGTATTCAGTGATATATAATTGTAGTATTTGCAGGTTTAATATTATCAGAGATATTACAAACTGTAATATTAGAATAACGTTATAGTTTTTTACTTTATTAACAAGACATATGGTTACTTAATTTGGTTAATAGGCCAAGTGTTATACTTTCAATAAATAATGTAAATGTTATATTTTTACCATTAAATAGTAATAATGCTTATTTATTTTATTTTACTATTAATTATTACAAACTAAAAAACTAACATAATTATTACTATGTGTATACAAAAACTGTTTAATAAATGGTACACCACATGGTCGTATTTCACGGGCCATTTATTCGGCCAAGCGTATTTTTAGCAAACGTCATAAACTAACATCATTTTGTTTTTTAAATATAATTAGATATAAAATTTTGACATGATATAAATAGCATAAAAATGATCCAAAATAAGTATGGTCTGCTGTAATCCATATTAACATTTTAATTTTTAAATTCATGATACAAATAGAGTACAGTATATATTAATATAGACAGTTTTTTATTAAAAAAGTGTTTTATAATATAAATGTAATTAACATAAACCCGTTTGAGTGAGTGAGTGAGTGAGTGAGTGAGTGAGAGAGAGTGAGAGAGAGAGAGAGAGAGAGAGAGTTTATTAAGTAATTATAATAGAATTTTATTGGCTGGGTAAAGAGTCTTGATATTTTCAATAAATTATTTAAGCATTGTATTTTTATGCATAATTATTTTAAATATAAGTTTATTACAATCCGGCCGATCATGTGATAGACAAATCTAGTGGCGGATACGGATCATATGTAAGTTTTGCACTATATTAGTGCATACGTCTCATGGATTGTAATGTTTAAAAACTGTAAGATGTGTTTATTATTAATTTAGTTACCTACAAGTTGTATAGCAATTACATAAATGGTTTGTATTGAAACATTTAAATCATTACAACTTTTATTTTATTTTAACTTTCATTAAAATTATACTTTAATTTATACTTTACACAACATCATAGTTGTTTCTACTCTAAATATTTTTTTAATATGTAAAGGTAAAATAAAATACAGTGCAACCTTTCCATAGCAAACCTTTCTACAGCGAATCACCTTCCGCAACGAACACTTGATAAATTAACCTCGTATAACAAATAAGGCTATTTTACCCCCTCTACAGCGAACTCTCTATATAACGAACGGTTTTGGTGTGCATTTGGCCGTTTGTTATGGAGGAGTTGCACTGTATTACCTAAAAGCTGTATATTTCAATTATTTGTGAAAATAATTCATTTAAATTTTAAGGTATATTTAAACATTATCATCATTGATAATTTATCAAGCAAGTTGTTTAAACAGTGATATATAGGGTGACTAACTGTTTTTTTTACCGGGACAGTCCCTGTTTGGCACATTTTGTCCCGGCGGAGTTTTCACAGAACCATTGAGCGTCCCGGGGAAAATGGCATGTTACCCAAAATGTCCCTGTGGACATTTTGAAAGGTCCTGCAATGTCCCGAAATTTTTAATAATTTTTTTATGAAATGTCCCGGTTTTAAAAATTTTGAGTTAGTCACCCTAGTAATATAGCGTCCATCATATGGGGCTCAAACTTTGTACGGCTTTGCGGACCACATGTGGGTCCAGACCGTACTCGTGGGCCAACTCTTCGGTCCGGTATTTTCACTCAACGGGAGAATTTGTAAAATCCGTAGTATTATTGCCGCCTATTTGTTAACAAAAATTATATAATATTAAATTAAAGCACAAAAATAACGTGACTAAACAAACCAGCACCATAATGTTTTTTAATTTCTCATTGAAAATTTGTAAATATACAAGTTTATAAGATTGTTTTAATTAAATTAAATTTTATTTAAGATAATAAAGAATATTGCAAAAAAGTTAGGGTTTTATGTGTATATAGGTATTAATAAACAATTTATTTATCTAGATATCTGGGTACATTATCCGGGTCAATATAGTAAAACAGCTGTCGACCGGACACAGTGTGCAACATAAGTTAATATTTAAATTGTATTTTAACCACGATGTCTAAATACCTGTTTAGCAACTTTTATAAAAACACAATTTTAATAGGGATTACAAACTGTAATAGTACAATAAAGTAATAGATATACACTTTATTAACATTATAAATGGTTAATTAATTGGATGAATATGTTAAGGGCAGTATTTTTGATAAATAATGTAAATTTTCTATTTTTATTATTAAATAGTAATAAAGTTTATTTATATTATTTTACTAGTAAATATTAAAAACTTAGAAAATTAACATAATAATCAGTGTATACATGAACTGTTTAATAAATGGTACACCACGTGCTTGTATTTTATGGCCCGATTAGTAAGTGATATACCGGTAGTGGTGGGCATACCTTAGAAATTATTAATTGTAAGAATAATTTTCAAGTTATAATTTTAAATATTATTTATTTTAAAATATATTATCATGTGCTATATTTATAACATTGTTTCTACTGTTCTGCGGTGCACTCATATCCATCCGAACAATGCCTTTATATTTGCCTTTATAAACGCCTCATACTTTTTCTTATTAAGCAAGTTTGATAAAAATTACTTATAGACACTGTAACTAATCTGTTATTAATCATTTATTTACATCTAAGTTGCATAGCCACTATTTAAATTGGTCACTAGGAGCGTAAATGTTATAATTAATACCATTAATTTTTAATAAAAATTAATATTATTTAAATCTATAGTTTTAATTTATGTGTAAATAAAATATATAAATAATGTTTAATAAACCAATATGATTTTTAAGAAATGTTTGTTTTTATTAATATTTGCAGTTATAAATTTTAATATCTTTACTTTTAATAATTTGTATTTTTTTACTTTTGATTATACAGTATTATGTAAATATAAATTACATATGTCATTTGTAATATTTACTTGATTTAATTTATTATCACTTGTAACAAAGAAAATAAAATAAAAAAAATAAAAAATATTTATAAAATAAGATTTTAGTTTAAAAATAAGATTTTTACATATTCCAATGTAAAATTTGTAAGTTTTTGAGTTATGTCACTAAATACACATTTACAAATAATAACAGTTTATAATAAAATTAAATTAATCATAAAGAATAACAATTAATGTAGACAAAAGTATACATTGCAATTTCTTAAATAGAACAATTAAATGACTATAACTATGTAACTCACCTAACTTTAATAAATAATACAATATTATAAACAATTTTTATAAATAATAATGTAATAAAGTTATAATGAATTGAGTCCAATGTATAAATGTATAGTTATTAGAGTATATTAATAATTATATAGTTAAACATAGTAACAGTTTTTAATAAAATAACATGTTCATTTGAATAGCCATTGGTATTATGGTATAATTTGGTATAATTATCATTATTATTTAAAATTAAACAAGTCTTAATTAAAATAAATATTTAAATAACACAATAAATACACAAATTATGAAATGTGGTAAACGATAAAACAAAAAATAAAATTAAGATTAGTATTTATTTTTGTCTATTGCAACATTTTTATTTAATATAATTATATTAATAATTAATTATCTATTGATAATTAATGTTTTATATAAAATAAAATTAATAATATAAATTTAAAATTAATAGAACATATAATAAAACTAGATTTATTATTATAGTGACAATATTATTTAAAAAACTTAATAATTATACAAATATAATGAATTTAAATTACAAATTAAATATTAATTAGATTAAATAAATTTTAGATACAAGTGTAAGTGAATGATTAAATAGCATCATAATTAATTAAATGGTTAAATACAAATAATATCAAATTAATTGAGTTAACTATTCTATAAAAAATTAACATTTTTATATTTAATACAAATAATTAACTAAACATAATTAATTAACCACGTTGTTTAAACAGTCTTTTAGCGTCGATCATATGGGGCTCAAACTTTTGTACGGCTTTCCGGACCACATGTGGGTCCAGACCGTACTCGTGGGCCAACTCTTCGGTCCGGTATTTGCACTCAACGGGAGGTTCCGTGAAATCCGTGGAATTATTACCGCCTATTTGTTAAAAAATATATTCAATATTTATTAAAAGCCTAAAAACTACTGTTTGTTAAACAAACCAACAAAATAATGTTTATAATACCTATATCGTTTATAAAAAAATTTAAAAATAACAGTTTTAAGATATTTATTCTATTTTAACTAAAATTAATAATGATAAAAGCATAATGTATAAGGCCATTGTTTCATGTCGTTTATGTAAACTAGGTATTAATAAACAGTGTCATTTACCCAGGTATCGTGGTACATTATCCGGGTCAATATAGTCAAACAGCTGTCGACCGGACACAGTGTGCAACATATGCGAGTATTTGGCCCCCAATAATAGCCGTACGATCGGTATGAATGCGCCCAAAAGCATAGGCAAATTGACCACTAGTACGCAACGTAATGACTCAGGGTAGTATTGTCGCATCACCTTGATCATAAACTTGACGGCACGCATGTCCACATTGGACAGACCGGCACCGGACAC